GATGTGAACTAATTTTTTTTTTTTTTTTGTGGTGGGGAAGGGAGAGGGAAGAGAGAATGTTATTTCCTAGGGAACCCAGGGAGGGTTTCCTGTGTTGGGAAACTTGTGTTAATTGCTGCTGCCTTTGTCATGGCCATTTTCTTTCCCTTTCCCCTTGTGGCCTGTTGCAGTGCAAGGACCTCATGCCCCATTCAGGTTGAGGAATGAAGGGGGGGCCGTTTTTCCTCCTTGCAGTGAAAGAACAAATGCATTGGCTACAGCACACTGTTGTTCAGGAAAAAAAAAAAGGCTCCAATGACTTCCAAAACCTTATTTCTATTTCATCACACCAAGAGCATAGAAGGAGTCGCACCCAGCTGGCTCGGCCAAAGTTCAGGGCACTCGATTGAGATTTGGAGGGGCTGGGGCAGGCTGAGAGGGGCAGAAGGCAAGAGGGAAGTAAAGAGAATGGTGGTTACGGAGATCTCTCTTCCCAAATATGTAAATATTCTATACCATATAAGTTTAAATAAGATATGTAATTGCTGCTTAATTTTTGATTATGTACTTTATCTGTATAGCAGGCTTTGATGTCAGAAGTTTTTATATCAATCTAAATGGCTGCTCTTTAGCAGCCAAACAGGAGCAAGATGTAAAATTTTTGAACTTACTGTGTTTAATTGTTATTTGTTAGTCTGTAGTTGATGTTAAAGGTTAATTTATGAATCCACGGGCGTTCCACACTACACCAAAGTCAGTTGGCAGAGAAATGTAATGCCAGGATCGTTGATTGCCAGGAAGGTGACTCCTTTGTGTGTGACAGGTGTAGTTGTCATCATTTTCCTGTATGTTACTTTTTAATATGAAATACCTGAGCTGCCACATGTTATTTTATTTTACTTTATTATTTTTTTTTTACAGTTTTCAAGGAAGAGCACAGACCAATTTCCCATTTCACATTCTGAGTATGAAAGTGGATTTTTTTTTTTTTTGTAGTGCTGAAAATACCTAAAGGTGTATTGAACATTTAGAAGGGGAATACTTTTTGATGTTGATTCTGACCCGTTAATTATTCAGAAGAAGGGAAAAAAAAAAAAAAACTTCTGTAAATTCCATTCCGCCACCCAGGTCCCCAGGTCTGAGTAGCATTGCCTTAAATCTTAACCAATTAGAACATTGATTTCTTCACATGATATTCAAATTCTCCAACAAAAAAAATATCCTTCCAAGCAAAACATGTACTTACTCTCCAGAAGCTCTCTGTGCTATTGTAAACACTCCTTGAGATTTTAAGGGAATTCTAGGGTTGTGCCCTTTCGCGGCAGCTTTGGCTGTTGGCGTAGCTGTTCGTTAAGTGGTGTAGCAAGTTTCCT